AGAAATGACATCACAGTCAAAGCATTATTTCCTCATTGCTTCTTGGGTTTCTCATACTGGAAATGAGACAAGGAAAAAAATTCAGCTGTATTAAAAAAACAAACAAACAAACAAACAAAAAACACCAAAAACTCCCCCCCAAAAAAACACCAAAAACCAACTAAACACCAAACAGCATTTCAATTCTCCTCACTAATTTGGAGAAAGGACAAATATAATTTTGTGGTAAATTGTAAAAAGTTATATTAATAAAATGATGTTGCAAGAAGAGAACTAATTAGAAATCAGTGGTGAGTTAATTCTAAAATTTCTATATAATTTACTTGCAGTAAGTTTTAGTACAGACTCCCTTCACAGGTTCACAACATCTACAGAGTGGAAAAACTGAACTTGTATACAGAGGCAGAATTGTGCTGGTCACCAGTAGAGGAATATCTCTGTATTTCAAATGTTGCTTCAAAGAACTGATGACCAAAGCAAGCAACTGCAATTATAAAGGTCAAGTCAGGGCATGGACACCCTATCAGGCCATAATGGCAGCACACTGTGCTGGGAGACATACTTGCTCCCAGACCTAGCATGCATATCTTTTGCACTCTGCCAAACTCTGCAACATCAACCAATCCTTTGAAACACTCTATATTTTCAGCTCTGATTTACTCTCCCATGTGCAACAAATCACAGAAAACATTTATTCTGCATATAGACATATCAGTATTAATATAAAACTTGTTTTCCTCCAATACAAAACTTCCTGCTGTCTCCCTCCCTATTTTTTTTTTTTCAGAAATACATATACATAAATATATATATAAATATATACATATAGCTTTTCATAAATGATTTAGAGGGCAGAATATCAATATTGTTGACAGAATAATATGAAGATAATGGTTATACACCAGACTATACATTACACAAAGAAACTAAGTGACTTGTCCATGATCACAAAGCCAGAGCAAGCAATAGACATCCAGACTTTGGTTCACCTTCTCTAACTTAGCTACCTGGAAGTTAAATTCTGAAATCACAACTACTCAGCCTAAGTTCCTCTTATGGTCGATGGGGGAAAAAAATCAGTTTAAAATAGCTTTTATCTCATCCTAAAATAAGTAACTTTCTGGAGGTCTAATTCTCTCCGTCCACTATAAAAGTAACATAGGTCTTCCAGTTCAGCAATAGATAAATTTATACACTTAAAGTTAGGTGATATGGGCCCACCCAGACCTCCTGATTCCTATGCTACACATGAATATATGTGATTAAAAGTTATATATTTGTGTGTTGCATAGAGGGAGACCTAGGGAGTTTGGTTCACATTCCTCTTTATTTTTCCATCACTTCCATTGGTACTTCATCCTTTCCCTTTCCTCCACTTACAAAATATCTGGCTGTTAAACACAATGAACTATTTTATTGTTAAGCATTTAAGAAGAGATAAATGATGGTTTGAATGTTAATGCACCAAGGTAGATGAGAATCTTAGCACTATTAAATGGTTTCTGAACCACTAGAGCATAGCATCAGTGCTATAAAGGAGCACTCCCTGATGGATTGTTAGCAATACTCTAACTCTTTTCAGGACAATAATATTGACTTCACATTAGATAAACATGAATCTTCTAAACAAGAGGTGAATACACAGGAATCAGCCTCTTCTTTGTGTCTAGCAGCTAAAAGGCAGCAGGACACACTCTATAGAGTTTAATTTTAACTGTAATTAGCTTATGCAGTGAAGTGCAGTAAGGTAACAAATGAGGCACAGTGTTGCAACACAGGACTGACGAGAGAATAGAGGAGGTCATACTCTTTACCTTGAAAATTTCTGTTTCTCACAAAACCCATTATTAGTAAGGCTCAGACATTAAATGACCCTTATACTTTCAAAAAGGTAGTTGTGTGGGAGAAAAAAAAAATAAAAAAGCTAGGTATTGAATCTGTGATTGTAAGTTGCTCAGATGTGAATGTTGACATGACAGGCAAAAGGCTAGTCTTTCCTCTTTACCTATAGACCACAAATTCTGAAAAACTATTGCAATGGATCAAAGAAAATGCTTAGAATTTACCAATTGGGAATATATGTTTTATGACCCCAGCAGAAGTCATAGACATCAGTGAATTTTTATCTTTACAAATACAATTTTCTGCCTGCTAATGAGAAACAAACCAGATTCTGTCAACTCATATATTAGCATAAACCAGGCAAAATACATCACTACCAAGACTATGCAACAAAATTCAAAAAAAGCCAATGAAACAATAGATTTTCTAGAAGGAGAAATTTTTAGAACCATCTTTCTAATAATTATTAGAGGTGAATCTTGTATGAAGTTAACATTTGAAAAATCATCAGTGGGATTTGCTGATTTTCAAAACAATTAGATTGCTGATTTTTAAATTCCTGTGTTGTTTAAAATTAGAGCAACAAGTGTCTCGAAAACAAATCTGCTGCTTACTGAAGAAACAAAACTATATCTATTTCCATTTAAAATGATACAGATCTTCAACAAAATAGATGTGTCACAGAAGAGACCACTTTTTCATGGATGTGGATGTGTATTGCATCTTAATTCTTTACTGATCATTTCCATAGTTACTATTTTTTTTAGGTTTTTAGTGCTCCTATTGAATTTATTAAGAACTTGGAAATTTCTGATAAGCACTAATTTCAGATTTATTATAATTATACCAAACAGTAAGATCCAAAATTCTAATAATTACTGTAACACATAAGTAGTCTTTAAATTACAGAAATGTAGGAACTAGAAATCCAGAACTTGAGGCAATCATTTACTCTCGGTCCTGCCATCACTTAACTCAGGACAGAATTTGAGCTTGTTACCACAGTCTGAATCATTCCAAGAAATACACCAACAGAAAACATGACTAGAAGGGACCTCGAGAGATGTGCTAATCCACAACCATGCTCCAACCCTTATCCAAGCTCTTCTTGACAGACATTTATCTAAATCAGTCTGCAAAGTCTGTCATTCCAAAGTCTAAATCTCCTTATATACATATTAAAAAAAAAAAGTAGAAAAAAGAGGGGTTTTTTTTGTTTTTTTTTTTTTTATAAATTCACTAAACTAAGCTGAATGCCTTAACATACTGAGTTCATGAATTTCCATTCACACTCTCAACATCTACAAGCTCACTGAAAAGTCCTTTTCACAGTAAAACTGTGAAGTAGTTAAAATATTCACTGGTTGCATATCTTTTCTATACTCTAGTCAGGTTTCATTTCAGCCTAACTTGCTGGCATTTTGAAAAATTCTTACAGATAAATCCAGATTTTTTATCCTTCATCTACATATACCTTGCCTCACAAATGTCACCCTCAAATACAATACAGCAGGATAAGTGGGACATTAATAAAAAAGTTAAAACATGAAAATATATGTATTACTTTTCTTTGGAAATCTGAAAGTGTCTTCACTGTAAGTTTGGTTACTCTGGAGAAAGACATGGAGTTGACAAGGCAAAACAAAACTATGCTTTCAAATGTTTGTCTACAAAGCTGTCTACAAAACTTAACTGTAGGAAAAAAGCAATGGCCAAGAAAAAGGAAATTTCTGACATTTATTTCAAAATTTGTCAACAAAAATAGTCATCAGTTTCATTGCACATAGAGTCTGAGTTCTTCATGTGCTTACTAATACCATCCCCCATTCCTGCATTGCAATTGTTCATGTAGCCTTGCCGTTACCTGTATGGCTGCTATGGCAGACAATCAAAGAGAATTTTCCAAACTGCTGAAAGGAAAAAAGTATTAAAAATAAAAAGACACACAAAAAAAATTAGATGTACCTATGCAGCATCAGCAATACAAGTATCTCGAAAATGCTTTAAAGTCACTACTTAGCTAATGTTTGTAATGACTACGGATTACAGATTTTTAAAGCATATGAAAAATAAAGTACATATAATAGAATCATATGCTTATTATTAAATATTGATGCATATATTGAACTGTGCTTTGAAATAAATGTCCCCTGATATTTACTTCATCATTATTTTGCTCAGAGATATTTTCTACAATATTATATTATATAAGGCCATACTCTCAACTAGGATAGATCAGTATCATCCCATCAGCTTCAAATGAGCTGTACCAACTTTAAACCAGTAGAAAATCTAATGAATTTTCTTTATCATTTGACAAAAACCCTCTGTATGCAGCACAGAACTTGTGTTTGAACAGAAAGAAAAATGAGATTTTCAGTGTATGCACAGCAAGGAAAATTACTAGTTTTTGGATATTAGAGATTTAAGGGATATATGAGAAGCTTATGAGCTCTCAGACCTTACTATATTGCTTTGGAACCTGGACCAGGATAGACATGATGAAGAGGTTTAACAGGATGTATATTATAAATTGGAGTAAGCTGCAACCATGTAACAAAAATTATAGCAGACAATACAATATAATGATTTTATGAAACATTGGAAGCATCCAAAAGACTTCATCTCAAGTTTTACTTACAAGTACATTAATAAGTTGGTCTCCAAGTACAGACAAGTTTTCTGCCTCTCTTTCTGAGTTTTTTTTCCACCTTTCTTCCAGCCCATCAGTTTTGGCTTAAGATATGGTTCATAAAAATATGTCTGGAAACTCTTTTATGATTCACATAATGTTTGGAACAACCTGAACAATGACTTCAGTAAGTTTTTATTTCGATCCATTTCAAACTCAGAACAAACATATTTTTACCAAGTGGAAGAGGATGGGGAAAGAGGGATTGCTCTTCAGCATGATGGAAAAGAGAAGCAGATCTTGAGAATCAGCCAGTTACAAGACAGTTGATTTGGAGCTGGTGCCAAGGAAAAAGGTCACCTTGTTCTAAATGCAGTACTTCAGCCTGTGTCGCCTTTTTCACAGATTCAAAAAAACTAGATGGAAAGATACACTGGCCTGTCAGGAAAATGCAATTATTAGAGAGTTCTGCTAATTCAAGTCATCTCAGAAACAGCAAAAATTGACCTAAGTTCCCCAAGAACTAGAAGATGGGATGGCGCAGGAATGTAAAATACCAAAACAAATGATGTAACTAAGACAAAGAGCTGGGGAGGGCCTTGGATATTGGCTTGCTTTTTCTCAGGAGCAGTGGCAATGTTAACAGGTAGCTTAAGAAGGGCAACCCACACAATACAGTCCCCTCACAGGCCATACCAACAGTTGCTGATATCATTTTTCAGGATGCTGGCTATGGCAGAGTAGGCCATTGGACTATGGCTCTTTGCTGCTCTAGAGTATCCTGAGAGAGACAGCTCCATGCTTTGTGATTGGAGATGGCCATGCTTCAGTACAAACTTGGACCAGGTTAAACTCAGTAATCTGCAGAAAAACAAAACAAGACAGGAACAAATCAAAAACTACTCTTCAAGTAACCTACTAGCTAAGTAACACTTATGGTAAAAGCGCTTGTTGTTGAGTATAATTTCTGTTCAGAGGAAGTTCTTTTTTCCTATCTATCGAATAAATAAATTAGGAAGAAGTGAATAAAATAAGTGGTGGTGCTCTCCAGAGAGCAGACAGGATCCTGCTGTCAGCAATAGAGTCAGAGCATTCACAGCACTTACTGCAATAGGCAGTCCCAGTTTTTCACCTACGTGCTGCTCTGTGCTACCTCATGATAAAGTATAAAAGCCATGAAACTTTGTCTTCCTATAGATCAACGTTAACGTCTCTCTTTTTAAAATAACCATTTCTCACTACCAAGAGATAACAAATAAAAAATACCCTTACTTTATCTATGACTTAAACATCCTAGTTAGGCTCCAGCCAATACTTAGTCATATAAATGTAGGTGTCTAAATGCAGGCACCTTCTGCCAGGTGTTTATGGTCCATATATATTCAATGAAAATCTAGGCAAAATAACCAAGGGACCTCAGAAATCATGTCTGATGTAGGGTAAACTTTTCTATGCATATTCCCTGTTCCAAAGATAATACAATTCTTCCTTATGATGATGATGTATAGTAGTAAAATATTAGTAGATATTCAAAAATTTGTGGTAAGACTGTTACCTAAAATATCAAAATCTCTCAATCTTTTTTTTTTTTTTTTTTTTCAGAAAATCTTTCTGGATTTACTGTATGGCTGTCAGGTTGAGCCACTGAAAAAAACATTAGGGAAAATTTATGAGGTATCCACTTCTGCCAGTGGGTAATTATGGCTTTTTACAGTGAGAATCACTAACTGACCAATTTTCATTCAGAAAATAATAAGATAACTGGTAATGATTACACATAAAAGTAAGATTTGTCATACAAGTTTGCTGTGGGATGTTGTGATATGTTATAGTGTATCAGTGGAAAATGCCACTGTCAACAGATATCAATTTGCTGTTTGCTCAGGGAAAGTAAAAGCAGACTTGAATGAATGGCTAAAATGGCTAGACAATGCTTGGCATGAAAATAAGTGAAGACAGATACAGTGCAGGCACTGAATAGCTCCATGACTGTAAACTGACCCAGCATCACTGAAAGAAATTTAGCTAATTACTTGACAAGGGGGGGTGGGGGGGGAAGGATAATAAGATTCCTGAGAGGAAAAGAAGTCAAAATGGATTATGCAGCTTCTGCATTCACCAACTGTAATAGCTCATCTTTAAAAACCCACAAACAAGATCTGTCTATAAACCTTTAATACAAATGTCATATCTACCATATGTATGTGGAAGTTAAAAAAATCTAAAATAAAAGAAACATATATGAATTCTTTCAAGAACAAAGGCTTCATAAAGGATGCAAGGTGCCAAGTGGACTCATTTTATAACAAATGCTAAAATGTAAGAGAATCAATATTTTCTTTATTTCTAAATTTAACCAGAAAGAAAGATGGAAATGAAGTTAAAATGATAAAAGATTATGTTCCACAACAACGTGCCAAAGTTTATAGAAAAAGATAACTCTCTTGGCAAGCAAAAAACAGTACTTGAACAAGTATGTGAAACAAGGAAAATAATTACCATTGAATATCAAGGAAAACATATGAAAATAACTAAGATGAGTCAGGGAAGTCAGAGCCTTGTTCTTTCCCAAGTGAAGATCTGCCTGCAGATTTATAAGATCAGCTTCTGAGGTTTAACAGTGCCACTGTATCAGTCAGTACTTGCAGCAAGTGTTACTGTGAAACATTCAGTGAAGAGAAATCCTCTTTACCAAGTATTTTAATTACAACTTGAAAAAAAAAAAAAAAAGAATATAGTATCCTGTGTTCTGTCTTCTTTTCCATTCCTCACAGTGGTATTCTTCCCACCAGTTTCCAGGCCTCAAAAAACCCCCAATAAAAATGTTTCTCAAAAAGAAGCAAACTTTTTTTTTTTTAACTGCACTTTAAAAAATGCCACTTCCAATAGCTTCTCTCTGCTACTTAACAGATTCTTCCTTTTTTCTTCCCAGAAGGTGCAGCTCAGCCTTCCCAGCCAGCACTTGCCAAGCTCCTACTCCTTCCTGCAGCGTCCCACTGCAGCGCAGCCGCGGCAGCACCATCCCTGCACCCACCACACCAGCCTTCAGCTCACACCGTGTCAACATGAACTCAAGGCATATGAAAAACAGCTGTCAGAGCCATCACTCCATCTGCTTGAGCCCTGCATTGCCAAAATCCTCTCTTCACCAGTGTGCAGGTTGCTTCTGACACACAAAAGGATATCACCCTTTCTACAGCCTAGTAAGATTTTAGTTGTTGAGCAGGAATTGTTTTTTCCTTTAGGGGCTTGCCAGTGCAGTTGCTCTCCTGCTTTTAAAATTCGTTTGCTGCTTAAGAAAGAACTGCACTACTCAAAGAATGGATACGTGCAAAAACAGGAGTAAAAATGTCTTCTTTCTAGAGAATTAAATTTATGTCTTGTGGCACAGTATTGTGAAGTATCGCAGGTGAGCTTCACAGTTTTAGTCCTCAATATTGTTAGTGTCCAGTCATGAAAACATTTACCTGTTGCAACTTGTCATAATGAAATTACAGTAGATGTACTTAAATATTTACAAGATAGCCTATTTTCAGCCATTCTTAATTTCTTTTGTGGCTATTTCGAAGTTACTACTGTCTTGTCTCAAATCCCTGATGATTAGCCAGGCCATCACGATATCATATCCTAGATTTTATTTACTGATTGTATTTCCATGGTTTTCTTTTTTCGTGGCTACACTTTCAATATACTATGAAAAATACAACCTATCTCCTGAGAGGCTGAAGTAAAGAAAAGAAATTGAAAAATAGTAGAAAGAAAAATGCATTACATCTGCTTTGTAGACAAGGAGATGAAGTGCAGAGAGACTGAACGATGTTGCCAACTTTGCACGGAGGTTTAAGGTAGAGATGGGAACCAAACACAGACCTCCTATATACTCTTGTTATAGACACATGCTATGGCTTTTGAAAAGAGATGAATCTTAGAGTTCATTTTTTATAACCAGTCACAATCTGTTTAAAGTTCTCAGAGAAGTGTAACTGAACATACATAGTTTTTAAAAATATTCTCTCCAATTATGTTTTTACATTCTATCATGTGACACTAGTAAAACCAAGAGAAATACTTTTAACAAGTCAAGTGCAACTCTGTCTACCTTATAAATAATTCTGGAGAGGTTCTCTCTGAGTTCCAGACTAAGGTTAGAGTTGACTGTCATTGCATTATATTGCATAAGGATATCAAACAGTGTAAAATTTTCCTTAATAGCCTGTGTGTTCTGGAAGCTAAGTCATAGGTGATTTACCCTCTAGTGAGTGTTGTTAGTGCAGCATATTACACACTTGACTAGCCTCAGTTCTTATTCATGGCTTTTTATTTTTATTTTCAAGGATTAGACTAAACTACACATAGAGGGTAGGTAAGAATTTTTATTCTCTTTCATAGTGCTGTGCTTGGAGATATGCAATGGAGAAACACATTAAAAATAAAGTCAAATTGCAGAAGCTTCACTTTTTTACATAGATACTTGATACTAAAGAGGAATATACAAGGAGGTTGAACTCTTCAGTGCCTTTGAGTTTACATCTGTGTCATGCTTTATGGATTGGAGAAAATTTTGCAAGGGTGAAGATGAGGAATGGAGCTGTGAAATTCAATTACTATGCTTTGCAAAATTTAGGAATCTGTGCTGACTATCTAATAATACAAAATACAGTGACTGTCTCACTTTCCTTCCTTACAAAACATATCTAATTTTTTCTCTTCCTAAAATAATTAATTTATACTATTAAAAATAATAAAATCCTTCAGACTATTTCATCTTCCAAGCAAAGAAGAAACCTTTCTTCAAAACATACAGGAGATCTAAGAGAATATTTTTTACAAAATTTAAAAATCTTAAACTTATTTTTTCACTTTCACAGATAAAAATCCATCATTTCATGATAACTTTTTGGCTGATGCGAGGTAAAGCAGGATGCGATTGGAACTGAAAGCTATCCAGTTTTATTTATCCCTGCTTCTCTGATTTAAAATGAAGCCTGGCTGTGTGCAGATGATAACTGTGAGCAAAGGTTGACATCAATTGGAGCTGTAGGACGAGCTGTCTCTGTGTGGGGGAAAATATCACCTTTTTTAAAAGATGCTGGGTGACACTGACAAAATAGACAGGGCAGTCTAGATCAATGACACAAAAATAGTTGTCATATAATGATTAGTGAACTAGTGCTCATAATAATCTGCTTCAATAGACTCCTCTGAGGATAATGTTTGACTATTTGAACACATCATACTGTTAATTACAGCTAGGCTGAATTTTACAGTCTAATTTGTATTTTTACAGTATGTGACATTTGAAAGCTTGAGGTAATTTTCAGTATCTCATTAGGTGTTTGAAATTCAGTTTGTAGCTTTTGCTTCAAACAGCAGCCTTTTAATTTAGTACCTCTTTAGCGCAGTGGGCTTGATATGGAATAATCATTAGGGCAGTAACTACATCTATAGGAAGTCTCCTGGGAAGATGTCTATCAATTTTCCCCTTAAAAGGAAAAAGGTGTTAACAGTCATAAATCTAGTTCAGTTCCTTTTTTAGCTGTAAAACGGAGGAGATTTATCTGACAGGAACCTGGGCTATCCTTAAAATCCTCTAGCTATGGATGAATAAACCAGTTCAAGTAAAATACTAAAACAATAATGTATTGAAGATATATAGCCTTATATATCAAAAGACCTCAAAGCATTTAACAAAAATTAATCTCATCTATGCATCTGTCTATCTTTCTCTCTCCACCCATTTATCTAGGATTTGTCCAATGAATTGCGATATTTGCACAGCACAAAATTAAGCTTTATTATTCACTCTTGAGATGAGGAACTATTATCCCCTACCCTACACAAAATCAAGAGAAGTATAGAGA